CCTCTCGAAAAAATACCGTTCTGAAAAAGTGTTACATTAGCACCACACCCGTGCGAACATTAAAGAAAGGGGGGGTCGTTAATGCACAGTGCCATAAATTTAATAGAAATCCGTGTCTAATCGTCACTGTGAACAAACCCCTGCTGGTCAAATCTCACCTATACGACCAAAGGTTAAATTTTCAAGGAGTCACCAATATCTGATGCGATTTAAATGAAATCTTTGTGTATTGTTGTCGGTGTCAAGACTGTCTGCACGTATTGATTTTACGTACGCTCATGCAACTTGCGAGTTTTCTCCTATGCTTTTTAACACATTCCACATTGTCCCTTGGAGCGTGATCCTTTTGTCTCATTTCTGAAATATAAAATTGATTCATTTCAGACGATCATCACTTATATTATATAGTACTTTTTTTTTTTTTTTAAATAAGTAATGTTCTATAAACCAAAGGGCCATTTATTTTTGTAAATTGGTAAATTAAATAAAAGAAACTTTAACTGAATAACTTGTAACAAAATTTAAAAAAGAAATTAATAGAGAGTAAAGGAAAAAAAATCATAATATAATAACTTCTTGCTCGAATTACGTTGACGATACTACGATTTCTGATGCTTTTTAGATAATTACACGACGCTCGAATATACTGTTGGTGATTTATAAACTAAAATATAGCTTTAACAAATTAATATTTACCAAAACAATTCTTTGTTTAATGTTTAATGTATTCAATTTTCATCCAGTGGCAAAGGAAAGATCCAAACAAATCCCGTGATGTAGAGGACTAATGCATTAATATTCTCGTGTGGCTTTTTTTCAGGCGTAGTTTTGTTTGTAAGGAAATTCCACACATTCGGTATTGGCCAATACATAGTAGTATGGATGATTTACTCACGACTTTGCTTGACAAATATTTGGTATTTGCGGTTTCCCACTCCTTGTGCCGAACGAGAAAGGACAAACCTCGGACAGACACTTGTAATTTCTACAATAACTGCGTATACGTATGTGCTTGCCACACGACAAACACTGGCAAGGAATGTGTGGAGTCACCTTTACATAGGCTGGATCTATTGTGATTTATATTTCTATATTGACAAAATAGTATTGTTTAGTAAAAGATTCTCCCAGCCTTATCAAATTATGAGAATCAGATAGTTTCCTATGCCACTCTACTTATATAACTTATTTATGCAAGAGGAAAACATACACTTCATTTAATATAGTTTTAAAAAATGTCAACTTAAAAACGCGTACAGTATACATGCAAATATACAAAGCTACAATAAAGTTTCTGAACAATATACATAGAATTGTGACTAACGTTTACTAAGTTTCTAAGAAGCATCAGAAAAAAGTTTAAATGAGATTTGATGGAACGCATCATTGTTAATCGCGGAATAACAGAAAAATATAGCATTAAACAAAACAGAAATATGGCAGTTGAAATCAGAAAGAAAAAAAGTTAACACGCATTCAATATATCAAATTGTCTATTTGTAAACGTTAAGAATAAAAAAATTCAACTTTTAAAAACAAGAAAGAGTGTACAATTCCAAATTTTGACTAGATAAATATCAATCATACAAGAAAACAAACTGAAAGAATAAATAAATTCAACTAAAATTTGAAACAAAACAAACTTTCGTATAATTTAACAACACGGCAACATAAAAATTGTTTCTATATTTTTGTAAAGGCTTCCGATTTGTACGTCATGACTAAATTACCTTGCAGATCGTGTTCGGTGATGTATTCTTCGCTTTCTCCCTCTCCAGAATCTGTTCCCCAATGCAAGTCTTGAAGATAAGGAATGACGGTCATGCTTCTCAAATCGTCTCCGTCGGGGCGGACCGGAATATTTACACACTCGAATAGCCTTGGATGCTTTTTCTTAACCCAACTGCAACAAACAGGAAAGTTCAGTCGTTTCTAGAGCACATGCACATATTATACGCGACTACGTAAATTAAGACGGATGAAAATTAAATGTGTTTTCACATGTTACTTACTCGTGCTGTCTAATTTGTTGTAGAGAAAACCTGAGAAGAGGTTCTTTCTGCAACATACCTGCAACAGTTACATTTCTTTGTTTAATGTATATTTACTTAATGTTTTAAATAGGATTTAACAACGACACGGCCAGACGTTCACGTCTCTGATTTAAACGAAACTTGGTGAGCACGTAGCCCTAAATGTAAATAGTTCCTTGTTCAAATAATAGGATCCACTTCTCGAGCATTTTCAGGACTACGTGCTCGCCAACTTTCATTCGAATCGGGGACACAAACATCCGGCTCGCTCCATGTAAGATGAGAGCACAGATTTACAAGTTGTGAATGGAGAATATTAAAGCACAAATACCCATAAGCAAGTCTTGTAATGGATGATCCAAGTCTTCAGGAATGGTAATTTCTTCCTTTCCGATATTTTCGAATAATTTATATATTGTATCGCCCTCAAATGGATATTTTCCTGTTGTGATATTGTATCTAGTAAAAAAAGAAAAAATATAAATTAAACTTGCAATTTGTTATTCAAACTCTAAAACATCTTTGTTTTTCTTCATAAAGATGTCACTTAATGTAAGAATATGGAGTAAGTTTTCATTATAAATGAATAATTTAATAATTAAATTCTTTAATATTCTGAAAAACTTATAAAGGCCTAGGATATATATAAACTAGTGGACAATCTGTGGGATAATAGCAAGGGCCTCCCTCATATCAGGGCCACACATTTCATAAACTACATACACAACTAATCCATATGTGAATCTGATAGTGGATAATGAATGAAAATATAGGACACTTCTGTGTTGCAGCGTTATTGACGGCAATTTGTTAAATTTCAGATATACTCGCTAGTACTTTCAACAGTTTACAACCGTCGTCTTCAGGCAAAATCGAATACCTTAGCTTTCGAATTGACAGCTTTTAACGGACTTTTCAAATTATGTAATGCACGTGGTTGGAATATAGAACAAAACAATAAAAATTGAATAAATAAATATTTTTAAAGAAACGTGCTGTAATAACTTGAATTCCCCAAAACATATAAATAAGGAGTAATGATACCATGCATGGTAGTAGAATAAAATCAGATCACAAAATTATAACTTGGATTGTTTAAATAAAGTTAGCCATAGCTGTGGTATTTCCAATGTCGGCGCATTACACGGCAAAGCGGCAGATATGTAAAGGTTCTCCCATATGAATATTTGCCTACGATCATTGCAATGCTTAAGTAATTTAATGTGGTTCCAAAGTGGAAGATAATCTTGGTCTAGAACCTTTCTCGCTAATTCTGTAGCTGGTCTGTTATTTCTAATGTCCTCTTGATGTTCGAAGATGCGGGACTGTATCATTCTCCAATATAGATAATTTCCTCCCCTGATATTGTATGCTTTAATGGAATTTTATAAACCTCCGATTTTTCGTTCAACGTGAGAGTGTCTCTATCATTGCACAATGTTCTTCGTAGTGATGGTTGAGGGGTTATAGGTAATATAAAACCATGCTTTCTGAATATGCGTGTTATTTTTAGTGAGATGGTGTTCAAGTATGGTATTGGAGGGTTTATTATCTTTAGGCTTTCTTTGTTGTAGAGGAAAGATTTTGGAAACGATTTGTTTATGACCCAATTGTAGAGATATCGATATTTGGAATTAGAATATCCGGCATTGTGCACTGCTCTGTTGATAATTTGTAATTCTTTATCAATTAATACCTGAGTGGATGGGATGAGGAGCACTCTCCGAATAAGCAAAGTGATAGCAGAGTTTACAAAGCTTCAGGGATGGAAAGCAGTTACAGGGATAATATCTGGCCCTTCGTTTGTTTTTGTGTTGCACCGCAAAAGTTTGTTTTTGTGTTGCACCGCTCCGGAGATCTATGCACTTCTAAATCTAAAAAGGAAATTTTGTTATCTTGCTCCTCTTCTACAGTGAAATTGATAGAAGGATATATTGAAGCTAGCATTTGAATAAATTTGTCTAAATCCTCTGCAGAGCCATCCCACACAAGCAAAATATCATCAACATATCGTAGATACATGATAGGATAGTAGATTGTTAAAGGTGCATATTTATTTATTCAATTTTTATTGTTTTGTTCTATATTCCAACCACATGCATTACATAATTTGAAAAGTCCATTAAAAGCTGTCAATTCGAAAACAAAGGTATTCGATTTCGCCTGAAGACGACGGTTGTAAACTGTTGAAAGTACTAGCGAGTATATCTGAAATTTAACAAATCGCTGTCAATAACGCCGCAACACGGAAGTGTCCTATATTTAATTGATAATGGATCATTACAAAAAGTTTCTATCAACATCCTATACAAAATGACAGAAATCTCTGAACTTTGCAACCTGATACCACCAGAATGGATCATCAGATAAGAAAACAAACAGCTTTTTGAACGTATGCAGACCCACCCTTGTTTATCAATAGCTAATCTAGGAGGAGTTTAGCTAACAAAAATCTCCTCAATATAATACAGAAGTTAGCTACTATAAACAATGCAGTATTGCTTAAGGTATTGCCCCCATGGATCTCTTCTAAACTAGACTATACAAAATCCTTGGTAATGTTTTTGTATGTACTAATGTTAGTAATATAAAGGAATTACAATTTATGACTGAGTATAAAACAGCAATAACATAAACCACTAGTGAAATTCCTTTAACCCCGCATCCGATATGCCGGCAAACTTGATAAGCTGGCACATCCAGCACATCAATTGGGGAGTTTTTGGAGCATTGTTCTTTACCATCATAATCAACAACTTTCAATATAATCATTGTGGAAACAGGAAGATCAAGACGACATGACGATGCTAGGAAAAACCGGTCTGTTCATACATGATTTTTCTAAAGACTTTTCCAAAGACATTAGTGAGATGAAAAGTATTTAGGAGACTTGGAATTATCATGCAAGCAGCTACAGTACAATACTAGTAATGCACTTTGATAATTTAGATTGCATCTGTATTTATACACAATAAAAGCATACAAAGCACAAAGTAAGAATAGTGTTCTTCTTTCAAGCCAACCAAGGGTAGGAAGAGCCTGAAAAATTGAAATGGCATATTAAACAACCATAAAAAGTAAATTTGTACAGTTTTACAGGCAAAATTATGTAAAATTGTGTCTGGGGAATAAAAAAATATCAGAAATCTTCCGTCGTCTAATAAGGCGGCATAGACAATAAATCGGCACTGCATCAGTTCCGACTATGCCGAGTTAATGGAATTTCACCGTAGTAAAATTAAAAATATACCTTTAAATTACGATATAATATATGCAGGCTACATGTACAGTCAACCCCCTATAACACTGTTGATTATTCCGTTTTATATGAATACCATGTTGTACGAGTCACTTAAATTTTACAAATACCTGAGCCGTCCACAGCCTGGAACACGTATTTGTAAAATCTAAGTGACTTGTACAACATGGAATTCATATAAAACGGAATAATCAACAGTGTTATGGGGGGTCGACTGTATTTATATTTATATATTTTTGTAACTTTTACTGTAATTTAGTAATAATGACAGCTACACTGATAGGTTCAAAAGTAAATTAGCATTGTAGATATATTGATATAGTATACATTCATTAATCCAGCCTCACCCTCCCACCCAGTTTAATTGGAAATATGCTTCTGTTTTCATTTTCATGAAAACAGAAGCATATTTCAACCTCTTGCCACACATTGTGCAGTTTCAATTGGAAGAGGACATTCACGTTCTAGCAAGATGAAGAGACTCCACCTCACTTCCATAATGATAAGATCATACCTTAAATCAACATCTGCCCCAACAATGGATTGGGCAAGAACCTTTGGTACGACCTCCCAGATCCAGGACATAACACCCATGAATCTCTACGTACGGGGATTTGTTAAAAAAAGTGTGTTAATGTACCCCACTGCCAACAATAATTGAAAAATTAAAGCAACAACTAAATGAATCCTGTGCTAAGACTGATCCTTACATGCATGAAACATAAGTAATTTGGCACTAGAAGCAGGCATTAGACATCATTGTTGCCGAATGCATGAAACGAAACCCCTAAACTGTGCTTTTTTATGAATTTATTGTTATAATTAGCATTAATAAGCACAAGTAATTTAATTAAACTTTAAGTTTAATTATTGTATGGCACACAAAAGAGAACTGAATACAAAACAGATTCACGCATTCGTTATTATTATTCCGGAGGAGACGTTCTTACAGCGTAACACCAGATGACCAGACGTCCACTTTAAACCCTGAGAAACTCTCCAAGCCGTTGGCGATTTCTGGAGGTTGAAAAGCCGGCGATCCCTGACTCGTGTGGCATATGTCGCTGACGGCAAATCTGTCGAGAGCCTGAAAGACAAAGCGGAGACGTTAACGGGTAAATTAAATATGGCGAGAACCGAGAAAGAGGGACGCTTGATTTACCTCCGCCACGCCGAGATCGGATATCTTCAACATCCCACTGTTAGTGAGTAGAAGATTGCCCGGTTTGATGTCTTTGTGGATGATTCCCTGACTGTGAAGGTACTCCAGTCCATCCAGCAGCTGACAGAAATATCTATTCGTAATAAATTAAATCGCATAATAACTAAACGGCTTTTTAAATCATCGTTTAAATTCACTTCTTCCGGAGGGCATCATCTCAGAATTTAAATTCATATTTGAAATTATGTCCTCCAATCAGATTAAAGAAAAGGATATATTTTAAATTTTTCATCTGCCAAAGAAATATTTTAGGGATTATTTATTATTGATACTAACTACTCGATGAATAATAAAACGTTATTAAATTGATAATTTCCGACTGAAAGGGCGATGAATGATGACGTTTTAACGTTTCGGGAGGAATGACAACCAATCAGAAAACAGACGTAAGATCGTCTGCATCGCACGTGCAGTAGCGTCAGCGCCGGAAGTGAACGGCCGTCTGCTACGAATTTTTAATTTTTCTGAAAGTTTTTTTTTTATGTTGTAAACATATAATTTGTAAACCTTCGTTGGGTTGAAAGATAAAAATATTTCTGTTCAGTTGTTATTGTTAATATCGATTCTCTTGAAGGGAAAAAATTCGCTCACAAAATGGAAGAGGAGGGAAATTTTCCTTTCGGATTCACTGTACGAATTTTATAACTTTGTCAAAGAAAAATTTAGGCCCGTGTGTCATCATTATTAATAATTATTAGTTTTATCGTGTGCTTTATTAGAATTATTAACGATTTCATCCGATCTAATTGATAAGCTAAATGTTGTTTACATAATAAGTAATAAAAACGGGGAAAATTTAGGGATTTATTTACGAAATACGTTGATTCTGATACATAAAAAAATCGATTTTAAGTAAAAATCATCAGATTTTTTTTCATAAAAATTCAATAAATATCCCGTATTAATTCATCGATTTTTTAAATACCGGGAATTTAAAAAAAAATTAAAAACTACAACGAATTTTTCATGTAAAATGATATTTCTCTAAACAAACAGCNACTTAAATTTTACAAATACCTGAGCCGTCCACAGCCTGGAACACGTATTTGTAAAATCTAAGTGACTTGTACAACATGGAATTCATATAAAACGGTAAAACGCGACTACGTAAATTAAGACGGATGAAAATTAAATGTGTTTTATTTTAATTTATAATGGAGTTTCATTCGTATACACAAAAACAAAATGGCGGCGGAGGCGTTGTTGTCGCCTTATCTTCCTTTAATAGGCCATTAAAGTATATTTCGATGCAGTTAAAGTAATATATATTGTTACTTCTGCATTATTTATAATTAAAAATACGTAAATATAAATAATAAAGTTATTATATTTTTGATCACGTGACCTCTTGTGGAAATTGTTATCCGATAATACACGTGACGAGCATGGTACCTTCTAAAATCACAGTGGAGTTCTTCTATGACGTCGTTTCGCCCTATTCTTGGATTGCCTTCGAGGTGAGTCGGTACTTTTTGTCAAGTAACGCACCCCAAATTATAAGCACATGTGTTAAATGGTCTGTGTATAGGTGCTATGTAGATACAAAGTCAAGTGGGGCTTGGATTTGCAATGGAGGCCATTCTTCTTGGGTGCCATTATGAAGGAATCAGGTAATTTCCACCATAGAGTGATCTGTATAGCTATTGTATGTGATGTTCAAACCTGTGTTTACAGGTAACAATCCACCTGCATTTGTGGCGAATAAGGCTCTATACATGAGAGAAGACTTGAAGCGATTGGCTGATTACACTAAGATTCCGGTGTGCATACCGGAGGTAAGTATAAAGGAGTGAATACGTCAAATGTTTTTGCTGTTTGCGAACGGTTACTTTCTAACAGAATTTCTCGGAAATCATGAGGAACACGCTGGGAACTCAGCGGTTCATCACGGCGGTAGACATGAAGTACCCGCAGTACACCGAACAGCTGTCCAGACAGTTTTGGACGAAGATCTTTAAAACTGTATGCTTTAGTAGAATTCGGTACAAATTTGAGTCTGAATGAGGCGGTTGGGATCTTATCGGAGTTGCGTAAGTGAAAAAGTTACGCAGACCGTCAGTTTCTGTGATCTGTCATGAGATATAACCCCCAATTTTACCCATAACAGAGTGCGGAATGTGTCTTTGCACCCCAGCAGTTGGTATGAGTACTCTGGTAAAGTGAAAATATCTCATTTTTAGCATTGTTTTTGCTAATAGTTTCAGATTTTTTTCATTTAATTTTTGGGGCCTTAAATTTCAGATACGCCAACAATGAGGAATAGATCTCACAAAGGTCACATATATTGTCGGTTTTTTGACATGTTTACTCCCGCAGGCACGATCTACAGCTCCGATAAGGTCCCAACTGCCTCGTTCAAGCTGCATTTGTACCTAAATTTCACTTTAATATTTTACGTTCCTTAATTTTGCATGTTTTGTCGATTAGTTTGAAGACGTAACACAAGTAGAAAGCATGAAAGAAGTAAGTTTAAATCAGATTTTCTTATCTTTCCAAATTTATAAATTGAAAGCATATTATGTATTGCAGACAGCAAAGGAAATAGGCATGAAGGATTCCGAAGTCAATGACGTGGCAGCAAAAATAACCGCAAAAGAAACTAAGGACAGATTGAGAGAGTTCACCGAAAAAGCATTAAATTACGGAGTACAAATTTTAAACTTTTGCTAATTGTTATTAGAACGGCATGTAAAAACTATTCTCGTTGCAGGGGTTCGGATCGCCTATTATTGTGGCTCACGTCAATTCTAAGCCAGAAATGTTCTTCGGTTCGGATAGATTCGAGTTATTGGCTCACGTATTGGGTGAGAATACAGTTAATCTTTCTTATCGTGTCGATTTTGAAAATCGTTACATTTGGAACTTTAAATTTTAGGTAAGAAGTGGGATGGACCACGTGCAGGCAGCAATTTATAAGAATTTTTAATAATTCTTTTCTAAACTTCAAATTTGAATGTTGTTTGTACGACAGTGTAATTCTGGTCCCTGGATGTTAAGTATGGCGTATGTTACACAAGGATCCGAAATGAAATGACCGATTTATAAATGGGATATTTATTTTCTAGAATTAAGCATTAATAAAATTTAAAACCCAATTGTTTTGTTATGTTCTTTATAGGAAAAACAAATTAAAATTTGGTAACAACACCCAGATTACCAGCTGCAAAGTGCACCAGTGGCTTTGCTGCTGTGGTGGACCTGGGTTAGAGTCCTTTCAAATCTTCAGAAGTCCTGCTATCGGACACACTAATCTTTGAACTCATCGCGCATTCAAAAGAAGAGGCTCTCTTAGTGCTCGCAGAACAAAGAGAGCCTCTCTGCACCGCAGACAACAGTCGAGCCGTCTGCACTTACTTTTGTAGAACAGCCGCCGTTTTCTGTGATGTTAGTCATCAGAAAAGAAAGAGAAACAAACTCGCTAATGGAACAGATGTTTTTATTTCCTGTACAAGTGATGCAACATTTTTTTTTTTCTACCAGGAAATTTAATTTACAATCAAAAGATATATCTCCAGTATGGAGTAAACAATTTCTGGTAACCACGGCTGCAATTTCGACTCCAGGATTATCCGTGATATTTTGTACGATTACATCCATTTACAATTTGCATTTAAGTAAGAAAACAAACTCTGTTTCCGACAAAATCTTTGAGGAGTTTCTTGCAAGCTTTATGTGACCGACGGTAATCGATAGACTCTGCGGCAGAAAATCGAAACACAAAATTGCAACGTACCTCGAGTTATGTCTGCTCGTAAATTTCGACCCGGTCCGAAAATTTAAATTGGCGCTCCACTCCGGCCCTTCTTACAAAGCGACAACTTAGAAATAGGAGAAACAAACAGATATTTCGAAACCGAACACGGTCAACTCGATGACTGACTTGGCATTGGTAATTATACTTTTTCCATTTGAATTTCAAAGGATTAAAAATCAATGGTATGTGCAGATTTTTAAACATTCTGAAGTAAATACAGTAGAACCTCGATTATCCGGACTAATTGGGGATGAAGGTAGTCCGGATAAGGAAAAATCCGGATAATCGAAACAAATACTTTAATTTGTCTTTTAGTGATAATACAACACATTTTCTTTCGATGACATATCGGTAATACAGTAGAACCTCGAAAACTCGGCCTAATGTGGACCGAAGGGTGGCCGAGTTTGCGAAAATGCCGGGTTATCGGGAATGGGGTTAAAAAAGGATAAGTATGCNTCTATTATGAAAAAGCATTAATCATTGTTTTTTTAGAAACTTCCTCGTACAAAAACTATTTACAAATCACGTATATTTTTTTTTTGGACGCATTATCTTTGTGTTTACGTGAATGTTTCGATTTAAATCTGACTTTACGATTTTCGATTGTGCGGAAATTCTTTCCGTGAGTAAAGTGCCAATTATAATATTTTTATTATAACTGCACAGAATAAGCATTCTTTTAACCTAGTGATTCCCGAAGTGGGCGCTACTACCCCGTTGACAGTAGTAGAAGACACAAGGGGCGACATATTCAGTTTGAAATGAACAAAAAATAAATAAGAAATACAGTCGACCCCCCTATAACACTGTTGATAATTCTGTTTTATATGAATTTCATGTTGTACGAGTCACTTAGATTTTACAAACACGTGAGCCGTTCACAGCCCGGCACACGCATGTGTAAAATCTAAATGACTCGTACAACATGGAATTCATATAAAACGGAATAATCAACAGTGTTATAGTGGGGTCGACTGTATAAAGAAAGAGTTAGAAGAAAAAAAATACTCAACATACTCGGATAAAAAAAAAACAGTCACGAGTGATCCAATTATAAAAACGTTATGCAATTAAACCTCAAAATAAATAGCGATTTAAAATTCTAAACACGTTTCACCTTCAAGAAGTGATAAGGATTGACCTTTGCATTCATTTACATTAAAAAAAAAAAAAATATGTATAATATAAAATAAAATAAACAGGAAGGAAGAATTCATTTTAAAATATTGATTAGGTAGATCTATTAAGAGCAATGATAAATACTGTAATTCGTTATAGAAGGCAAGTTTTTTAAGACGTAATTCGTTTAAAAATTCATTTTGAAAATGTCATGACGATTTCTCAACGTATACAGAATGATTGTATTAATATATTTTATCAATAAATAATAAAGTAACTTTTTCTTACTGATTTATTAATAAGAATGTTTAAAATTCGTACTTTCGAGTTCAGCTTCTATGTAATAATCAATTTATAAATGAAATTAGAGTTTCATTTTTCATTTTAGTAAATGATAAGATTACAAATTAATGATTCATACAATTGTAAACTTTACAGATGTTTTATCTGACAAAAATTCTTTTCCTCTTTAAATTGATATGATATTCTGACTGAAGAGGAAAGACTAATCAGTCAAATTTACTTATATTTTAACTAAAATATAACAAAATGAAAGCAGATCAATGTTATATATTTTTTCATATATAGTAGTCTCTCTACAGTCTGCCACTTGCCAGTCTGTAACTCTGTAGGGCAGCACACAAGAGATTTTTGTGTTACCGCTCATCAATGTATGCGCACGCAGAGAGACTGATGTACTGTACATGTATACTGTCAGTCGCTAGTTCTTTGTTGCACTTATGGTGGCAAAAAAGTCACAATTGTGATTAATTAATACAATAAACTAACCTGTAAACCAAGTGTTTTTTTTTTTTATTATACATTAAGTACATACATACAAAATTCAGTAATCTGACACCTGCAAGTCTGATATATATTGGATTACAGAGACTCTACTGTATTTGAAGTCATCTATTGATATGTTAGAAAAGAATAAAATAGAATTAAATTTAAAATAATATACTGTATATACGATCAAGCCCCGAATCAACAACTGAATATAAGCATAAACGGTTAGATTATCTTAAAGTTACGGCGATAATTAACCAGTGTAATTGTATAGTAAGTCCAAATCAATAGATCTATAAGCAACCGATACCATTCATTTCTGGTATGCAAGAATCATGGTTTCGAATCCGCTCCAGATTTGTTTAATTTTTAAATTTATAAGATGTATCATACCGAATTCCAATAATAAACCAATTAATTTAAATTTGCTTTGACGTAACCTGAAAATGTATCATAACTTGTATCAACTTACAGCATAACATCACAGAGCACATGCCTCTTAAACAACAACAATCCTCGCATTATGTTATAGAATAATTTTTTAAACTAAACAGGCAACTAGACGATTTTTTAAATTAGAAGAAAAAATGTATTGGTAAAAGACATTTAGTTACTGGCATTGACATAATGCAAGGCTGCAATTTTTAATCATATTTTAATTTTAAAAAATCACATGACAGAACCAGTCCAGAAGTTCGTGTTCGGTTAATTGGAGCCTCCAGCTTCCATATCCGGTCTTGATTTCCATCTAACTCCCGCGATTAAGGAAGGTCAGATGGACGACAACGGGAATCTATAGGTCGGCGATTTTCAAATTGCAGTCCAATTATAAGTAAGTTACATAACAATGACAAGAACTATAACAAGCTGTCTGTTAAATATTCTAAATAAAAGGCAAAAGCACTTAATTACTTAATCACAACAACAAAAAAAGGCTAATAGAGATAAGTAAAACAGTTACAAGTAATTTGGTTCTGCTAGGAATCAATGTGATTAAGCAGAACTAGATCTATTCATCACTGTTTCATATTATCTTAGTTTTATGTATACAAGTAACAATGTTTTATGTGCAAATAAAGATTAGTAATGTTGATAATATTACTATTTTATTTAGCACTTTGCTTTCTTATTAATAAAAATAATATTTTTGTATAATTATTCGATTGCTAATCAATGTTTAATTTATTTTGTATGGTTCGTCCTTACCAAACCTTCAGTATATTTTTACACATTAAAGTGGTTAAAACATCTGAAAATTTGATTTTTCTCACACATTTTCTCACTTTTACATCACTTAAACCTAAAATTTAATTAACTATTATTAATAAATTTAAAATTTAACATTAAAATTAAAGATTTAAACACAATTTTTGCATACTCAATGATAAACTGTAATAATTTAACAAAAAGTGAATACAAACATGTATTAGTAATAATAGTAATACTGCTAGATATCATAATACTATTTTGCATATATATTTCATATGTAGAAGTACTTTTGTGTAGAACCAGATTCTTGTTGGCATAAAAAACCGCTACAAAATGAATAGGAATTGCCAGGTGTTCGAGTTCATTAAGAGTTGAGAATAGAGAGGTTTGCGGCTGATGTTTTCAACGCGAAAACGGGTACGTCGGACGTTCAGCGCCGTCTTCCTGTGAGTCTAGAAGTTTGACAATGGCGTTTAGAACGTCAGTGGAATCATGCCCGACGTTCCAAACGCCACTGTCAAACTTCTAGACTCACAGGAAGGTGGTGCTGAACGTCTGACATACCCGTTTTTGCATTGAAAACGTCGGCCGCAACCTGTATTATCTTGACTTCTGCCAAACTTCAGTTCGTCTGACCAATCGACTTTTCAGGTCCTAAACTAGTTTGTGTAATGTAGTATGACGCATACAATATATTGTTTTGGTTAGCGTTTGTAGAGGTTTGTACAACAGTGTAAACCTGTACAAACACAGGTTATGTGTAGAAAATAAGGAAACTCATTTACTACACACTGCACAAAAATCCATCGAGGCTTCTTACACGAACACAACACAATATAAAACCGTTAATATCTGTGTAATTTAACTTAAGACTTAAATGAAGTTTGAAAATCATAATGAAAGTAAAATAAACCATAATTTGTTTCTTAATATAATGCACAAAAATGAAATCAAAGTAGATTAATAAATTTTCTGCACCTTGACACTGTCATAATCTAATACGATGAATTTTAAAGGAATTTGGTTTTAGATGATCTTTCAGGATTGATAAAATAAAATCCTTTAAAAAAATAACAGAATCATTAAGCATGTTTGACATTTGATTTATATCTTAACAATTCTTTAACCATAATGGAAATTATGCTAAAAAGTAATTTTATATATATAAAGATTAGCATATCAGAGCTAAATGTCTGTCTTCAGTCTCATTATTCCTATATTAACATGGGGTTGTCAACACTTGTTCCCCTTATATGGAGAAGTTAATACATTGTATGACCGAATGCTCTTCCTGCCACTAACTCTTTATCTAGACTTGAAAATGACTCATTGCTCAAAATCACTGAGATCTCTGTTAGATTATATAAACAATGGAAATTGGTATTCCATG